GGAACTCCCATGAATCTCTCACACGCCTGCTGTGCTCGCAGTGTTTATTTACCCTACTGTCTTTCGTGCCCCAAACTAGTAGAAAAATCGAAGCGATTAATTTTTCACTTTTAACTTCTTTGCTTTGGACATTCATATAATAGCATAATAATTTGATATAAAACGCTCTAATCTGACTACTCCTGCTTTACCAAACCGCATTAAAATCTCGCTTAAATTGTTGGTGGGCGCCTGGTTTTGACGATTTTTAGCCTTCCTGGTATTTTTTTGTGATTTTTTATTTTTTTGATTAGGGTGATTTTTTTTTGCTGCTTTTCTCTGAATTGTTATTTTTCTTAAAATTTCTTGCGTTAATAAATAGCTTTGCGGTTTGGCTTGTCCATAGTAATTATCATAATTGAAATATGTAGTCACTTAATAACATTAATGAGTGTGGCTTAAGCGTTTTAGTTTTATGTAAATAGGCAAATGTTATTGTTCATTCAAAATTGAAATCAAAGAAAAAACCTTATATATTTATTTTTAGGAAAATGGAAAGGCAACAATGTCTAAGTGGTAGAACTTACTGCTGCTGTTTCGGAGATTACCACCTCTACTCATCAGATTTGTTTCAAGGGTTCAGTGGGAATGGAATCCACTTCACTCGCACCTTGCATCCAAAAACAGTTTGTTGAAGCATTTTAATGATATATTAAACAGTTCTTTTGATGCTTTTCAAAAACCTTTGGTTTTGTGCAGGGACCGAAAATAATAGTAATACCTTCTTTAAAGCTTTCTATATATAGTATTAGATAGGATAACTTTTAGGAGCCTAGACGCACGAGCGAGCTTTCCGACAAGACAACTCCCTCAAAGTAATTTTAAAAGGCCAGTAACCCAATTGGGGACACAGTTAGCCATTGTAGAGGTGTTGTTCTTTGTGATAAGATAAGTCGTGATTTTGAAAGGTAATAATTAATCAGTCCGTGTAACGCCGCGAGCCAATCACGTAATTACAGAGCAAGGTTATGTAAATCATCGAGGGTCCATCAAGGTTGGTTAAAAGGTGCGAGCCCCAATGAAGTATTGGCCAGGTATCTTAGCCAGGCGAAAACTGGATAGCCTAGTAGAAAATATATAGACTTGNTTTAAAATTCTTGACGTTTCCAAACAATTTAATTTTTAAATTTACTCACAAACTCACACACACATTTTCATTTTCAATCTCAAGCAACAACAATTTCGAACAATTTCAATTTTTTATTTTCACTTTTATATGATTTTAAAATGTTGGCAAACTTCAAAAAAAAATCATGGCCGACAAATTGAGAGAACGGTTCTACCTTGGTATGTTTTTATCATGCTTGTTTCCACCTCACCATTCTGCAGGCAACAGCGGCGCTAAATTACACTTGGAAGTTAGCCGAATTTTTCGTACTGAAAATCTCGAAATAGAATCAGGGGAGAATAGACATGGTGAAATTATATCAGGTGTAATAATAAAACCGATGTTTCGCTTTATTTTCTTAGTTTTCTTGACATTCGGCTATCTTGTAGAAATTTTTTCAAGCAAATTTTCAAATAATGCCATGTTCTGACCGACAACGAAAAACTTTGAAAACGAGTTTTTGGATTGTGGGCTGAAGGCTGTTCACACCGGCTGTTTTGCTACACAAAAACAAAATCAAAATGCTTTTCCCTCATTTTCTTTGCATTAGCAACCTCTTACTTTCATTCTTATTTTACTTTGGCCAGCCAGTTAACAATAAATCCGAAATGGCACATTAAAGATGATAAAATATGACTTCCACTTCGACAAATAATAAAGTATCGCAACTGTAAGTGATTACACCAGATATAGAGAGAATATTTATTTTTAAAACGTCAGATCGAAGAACTTGGAGAAAAGTAATTCGCATTTTCGAAAACATAGTTTTGTCTCGCACTGCCCTAAGAGATTCTTTTTATGGCCAAATTCCATCCCTGATGGAAGACTGTAAAAGAAGACCAAAATAAACAGCTGTTTGGTATTTGCATATAACATACCCAGCAGGGTCGCATGAAATATTCATTCAATTAGCACTCAATTAAACACTAATGGAGCAATTAAGAATTGAAATTTTGTATAATGAATCGAGCTCAAAAGCTTGGTTAATTGCTCGATTACAAGCGTGTCTGGGCATATTTTTAAGGATTAATTTAATGTCTGACGCAGCTACTGAGTAACTGAAGTAACGTAGGGTAGCATGAAAAAAGTTGTCAAAATTCTAAATACTTAACTTAACTTAATAACAATTTTTATTTTTTTAATTCTGTACGGATTACAGAAGGATCCGGACCATATCCGGGTTAACGAAGTTTTGCTGTATTTGTACTCCAGGATACTTCGATCACTGAATGTAATCCTCATGGTCTTGGTCGGCTGCCTCGTCAAGAAAGTCAACTCCCCACCTCGAAACTAATTTCTATTTATTAAAGGCATAGTAGATCACAATCGAGTTAAGAATTTATCAGCGAGAGTCGGAAGCCCGCGGATTATAATTGAGTTTTGATTGGGAAGAATTTTTCGCGATGAAGTTTTTTTTTTTTTGATAAGTTTTCAGGGACCAATTATATCCTTATGTGTCATGTTCGATCCACAGGATTTAACAGTGCAAGGATAAGTCATATTCTTAAATTTGTAAGTTGACTCTTCGTACCTTAAGACAGGTTGGCTTAGGTTGTTGTGGCACAGCCTGCTTCTGAGTCAGACATCAATTAGATTGTCCATTGTGTTACCACATTACACAGGTGTCTTAAATGGCGACAAAGATATTCTGTGTTAGAAACTAAGAGAAGCGCTGGGTGCTCACAACAAAGTTCCGCTGGCAGCTTATGTCCACTCCGGAGAGCTTTTCAGGAGCTTTTTCGTACCTTAAGACAGTTGAATCAAGAAAATTTTCTCATGTAGTATATGATTTCTTTATTTAATTTGAATTATTAGAATACTTAGAAATAAATTAATTTTAGTTAATTACGCAATTCAACAAAATCTTGGCTTATCTAGTTTACAAATTTTTTTTTAAATTTCATTATTTTTCTAAAGTTTACTTCTTTATTTACATTCGCTTGCAAGTCTGGCGTTTAGGAATTTTTTGTTGTTTTTATTTACATTTCATTAGTAATATTTAGTTATCACAGATTACAATTTTTTCGCTTAGTAAATATTGCATTTTATATATTTGTATGTACGTATGTTAATATGTATATGCATATGTGCTACATACATACATATATTAAATTAAGAAATCCTATAGCATATTTACTCTTTTGTTATTTTACTTCTTTTTATACTATGTATGTAAGTATGTACGCGATTTTGTTTTTTTGGTTTTCGAATTCGAATAATTGTAGTAATTTTAGTTGCAAATAATTTGCTGAATTAATTTGCTAATAATGAAAGTGTAATATATATGTATCTTTATATTTATTTATGTATGTATGTACACATAATGATAATGTTTGTTATAATTATATTACTTGTTATTTGTTAATAGTTGTTGTTGTTGTTGCCCAATGTTTATATTATTACACAAGTTACACAAACAACAAATTAATGGATTGATGTCTTAATTAATAATTTCGTTTTTGTTGTAGACTTGTTAAGGTGTGCAGCTAAATATGTATGTGTATGTGTGTGTAGACATGTTTGTACATTAGGATGGTCCAAAAATTTATGTGAAAAGGTTAAGACGGAATTTGTTTGTGCTCTCACCCCCTAGTATGGTTCTATATCGAAAAAATATACCTCCATTTTTTTTAATTTGGAATTAAAAAAAATATTTAGAGGTCACTCACTCAAAGCGCTCAAAGTTTTCCATGTATTTTACATGGGGGGAAATATAACTTTCGTAGAAATCTTGAAAATCAATATTTTGCGATCGGAAACCCCAATTTCTCTTGAGCGGATTCCCGTTAATAATGCCTAATTGTTTACTTAACGATTTTTTTTATAATAACTATATTTTTTTAAGGTCCGCCAAAAGCACCAGAAAATGCATTGGGGGACCAATAAAACATCGTTAGTATTAAAAATGGTTAAATAGAAACCTGGGTATTATTATTGAAGAGAACCTGAGTTTTCCGATCGGAAAATATTGATTTTCAAAAAAGCTATACCATATCTACGATAGTTGTTTCTACCCCCATATAAAATACATGGAAAACTCTAAAAAAAAATTTTATTAAAAGAAAACAAATAGGGGTATCTATATTTTTCTCGATATAGAACAATCCTGGGGGATGGGAGCAAAAAAATTCCGACATTACATTTTTTTGTTTGACCACCCTAATGCACATATGTATGTGTGTACTCTACGCGGCGTGTTATGTTTGACATTGCAATTATAGATGCGAAAACAAATTTTAACTATGCGCGCATCAACTTACGTACGTAAATACGTGCGGTACAAAGTTGTTGTTGCGCGCATAAATGGGCAAGTGAATTTGCTATTTGCTACGTGTTAGTTGGTGCTTTAGTGAGCACTTATTATAATTATATTTTAATAAAATTTTTATTACTGTTATTTTTTGCTGGTTCTCGTAATTTCTGTGCCATAATGATTTGCTTGGCGGTTTTGTATGTATGTACGTATTACTTATCGGTGCGAATGGTGAAGGTAATGGTGTGTAATTCGAACGTGGTGCCTATAAATCTGCTGCTATTATCGCTTTTTAAGTTTTTTTTTTCTTCATACACATATGCGTACGTACGTATGTATCTATGTTTGTATTGCAAATATAAAAAGTAGTGCATTCGAGCTTCTGCACTGCACACACTAACACACACACAAGGCGCGCACGCGTTGTGCGCATGCGCGCGTTTATTTTTAGCTCTTTTTAATTACAATATTTTTATTATGTGTTTTTAATCTTAATTTATAATTTTTACAAGCAGTTTTATCAAGCTTTAATTGCTATTTTTACAACACCTTGGCTGTTGCTGCTGTGTTGCTGATAGAGTTGAACTTGGTTGTTGTTGCTGTTGTCGCTGTCGCTGTCGCTGCTACCGTGTAAAGTCATTAAACCTTCTGCATGACTAATGGCATATGCGTATGCGCTTTAACTCGCACGCTTATTATTATAAGCGCACTACTAATTGTACGAAAAAAAACAACAACAAATAGCCAGCAATTTTCCACAACCACCCTCTTCGCACTCGCAAAGAGTTCCTGCCTTGAGTCTTCAGTTTTGCGTATTTTAAATTTTTCTTTTTTTTATTTCGATTTCATCGCGCGCGTGTTGTATTACGCAGACGACGCGCGCGCGCGCTCGCGCTCACGACCTTTTTGCGCGCTTGCTAAATGCAATAAAAACTTTTTATTGCCGCTTACTCGAATTACACTTTTATTGCCAAATAATTAGCGCGATTAACTTGCGCGCGTCGGCAGCCACTTGGGCCGCTTGCGGTTAAGCGGCATAAATTTTTTACATCAAACTTTAATTGAAAACTAGCGCAGCTTGCTTCCGCTGTCAGTTGGCTCGCCGTCAGCTATGAACTTTTAATGTTTATTGCGCTTGCTGCCTACTTTTGCGTTGCACATGTCCCGTTGCGCGCGCGTGTTGATTAAAAACGTTGTAATAATCATTAAGCCGCAATGCTAATCGATCAAATTTCTCACTCTGCCTCTACTCAACCCTCAGCGCGCGCCGCCGCCAATGCATAGTTAACACCGATACCCACTCCATTGCCGCCGTATGCCGCATGGTTTCCACCGTGAGCATTGTTACTGCCGACGCCACTGCTGTAGCACATGCCCGGCGCGCTGCTCGTCGGCGTCCCCATCAATGTGCCGCGCGCAAGCTGATTCAACACAATGCCGCCATTGCTGTTCGCCAATTTCATGTTGGGCGGCGTCTGCGGCGGTGTATCCGGCTGTATCTCGGCGAAACCCAAACGTTGCTGCTGCTGTTGTTGCTGTTGCAGCTGATGATACTGGTGCGCTGTCAAAAGTGGCGGACCCTGCGTCATCGAGGGTGGCGTGGAGGCGCTGCCATTACTGCTGCCACTGCCAGTACTGCCGTTGTGGTTGCTGTTGTTGCTGCCAGTGCTGCTGATACTGAGATTGAGGAAACTGCCGTTGCTGTTGTTGTGGCTGCTGCTGGAACTGAGACTGTTGCTGCCAGCCGATGCCGATGCTGCTGCCGCGTACGCCGTAGGTATGCGCGAATAGGGCAATGCGCCGACGTAGCCGCTCATCATATTCAGCGATGTCGAATTGTTGTTGTTGTTGCTGCTGCTGCTGTTGTGCGCTGGCTGCATGTTGCTGCTGTTGCTGTGGCTGTTGAGTATATTGTGTGGATTGAGTTGACTGATTTGTTGCAAGTGCGGCGGCATCTGCTGGTAATACTGTTGTCGACTTTGCATCAGCGCTTGCTGTTGCTGCTGTTGTTGTTGTTGTTGCTGTTGATATGTGCTCATTTGCATTGACGACGCCGGCGGCGGCAGTGTGGGTGGCGGTGCTGGCAGTAGCGGCGGTGGTGTCTTGCAGCCGACTGTGTCTGCCAAACTCCAGATCTTGGGTTTGCTCGCCGGGAGCGGTATACCACAGTCCGCCGCACGCAGCAGGTTTTTTGATGCATTGTACTCATCGGCTGCGCTCATGTGGCTGGGTGGGCCGTACGCCATGCCAGCCACGTGCTGTTGCTGCTGCTGCTGCTGCTGCTGCTGCTGCTGCTGGTGTTGCTGGTAGTAGGCTGAGGTGTGTTGCTGCTGGTAGGGATGGTAGCTGGGATGCTGGCCGTAGGGCGAGCTGTACACGCCGCCACCCATGCTGCGTAGGGAGGGTATCTCGCCATACTTTGGTTCATCTAAGGAGCAGCCATCTGCTTTGTCTTCTTTGGCGAGCATTTCAGATTTGACAATAGGATCATCTGCAAGAAAGAGCGAGAGAGAGAAGCACAAAATAAATAAGTTTCAAATTTATTTATTTTCGATTTGTTTGCAAATTGAAAACGGAAATCTTGTGCGATTGCCAGCTTTCCACGACAAAATGTATCTCAATTACTTAGAACCTTACAGCTTCATCAAACCCGAATGTCTAAGTAGCCCCGGTTATTTGTGCAACGTTTTGCTATCCCTGCCTTCAGCCCACATTTTCGTAGGCGTTGAAGCGTGGAACGCCCTTTCGTGGCCAGATTTCAACTACAAAATGTTTGCGCTTCCGCCGCTTTCTACCCACTTCTCTGATTTGGCAAGCATTTTTTTTTTCTTCAGTCGTGTCTTGAAGTTAACTTAATTTGGGAAAGTCAAAAACTTCATCAAGGCCACTTAAAGGCGTTGTTGCACTGCCCACTCCACGACCTTCAGTCAACGGCAGCCAGATGCCAGCAACTTCCGCTTGGCGACGAGTCAAATAGTCTACATATCTACAACACATGCCAGTACCGCATATAAAACACAGCAACAACTAGTGTACTGGTAACAAAAATATTAAAGCTTTATAGTAGATAATATGTAACAGCTGCCGTTTTATGGGCAGCAAGGCCACAAAAGGGGACGTGAAACGTCGCGCCACATAAATATCACTTAAAGTGAACGCGCCGCCAAAAAAAAAAGCCAACCCCAGTGGAAGTAATGGTCGATTTTCCAAACGTTTTGTTGCGTTTTGAATAGAACGAGCGGTGATTTGGCAAGTGCGCCTTTACATATGTACATATGTATGAGTGTAGCCCACAGTGCGTCAGGGGTGGTTCGAAAAACAGTCACAAAGTTTATTGCGAAAGTTCAATTTGTGCATTAATTCGCATTCGATAGTTCACTTTAAAAAACGGCGCTCTAAGCACCGCCTTTCATAGAAAGTTCTAAAAAATTTTCATTGGCAAAAATTCTTCGAATAAACCCCCTACCTTGTTGTCGTATCGCTAAGACCTTAAAAGAATTTTGGTATCCGTTATAGGAGTTCAAAAGGATTAGATTTTCATTAGCTCTGACATGCGGAGATATTTATTGATTGTTTTTTTCGTCTCGAGCAAGTTTTATTTCAAACCTTTACACACTTCGTCTATAATTTCTCTAATCTCTTGATATCCTTCTACAATACGCATCTTCGTGACCCTTAAAATAGGTTTTTGTTTGAACCCTTTCCGAAGAGTCATTTCATTAGGTTTCGAGACTGCTACCATAACCTAGGAATCCAGAGAATGGAACAGCTATTCAAAGCGGTGTTAATTGTTTTTATATTTTACGGGTAATCTGTGTGTATTCTATAAACCATATTTGGCGGCGGCGGCAATTAACCAGGAAAACGGGGAAGAGCTCCTATGTAACAATCATCCATCATTAGGCCTTTACACTACTGCGCGGTCGGAAATTCTCTATACAAAGCCCTGATTCCGTCTAGCGCCTAGCTGGCTAGATTTCCGTAACTGAGATTTTCTCGACAGTGACAAAACAGGTTCCGACATGGAAATCCCTTCTACAGATAACCTACTCCGGCGCTTAATAGATTTTCTTCACAAAGTTCTCATCCACTAGAATCTGTGCAAGCTCTAGCATACCAAAATTAATCAGAGATAATTACTTCTGGCGCTGAATAGATTATCTCAACAACGGTTATCTCTCGTCGTGCCGTACTGGCACTACCACGCAATATCTTGACTTGGATAAGTAGATTTTTTGTAGTACGTATACGGTGGCAGCGCCTGGGAATTATATGTATGTCCTGCTATCAGGGTATTGGGTATTTTCTCCGAAGCTAAACTATCTAAAGTTTAGACTGGCTTTAGCTTACAATAGCTCATCAGAGATTTTCATTTCAGCAACTAGAGGGATAAGTAATTCGACAAATAAAGTTTGCCGTAATACTGAAGAATTCTTAGCCCAAGAACTTTCATCTTGCCGTTGTCGTAAGGTTTCTGGCTATTCTTTATCTCTGCAGCGCCAGCAGAAGTGCCTTCCAGTGGCTACGATTCTTGAATTAGCTAAACACTCGAAATATGTAGATAATTTTCTTGAAGAAATTGTGACAAAGTTCTTTCACTTGTGGCATATTTTTTGAATCAATCTCCAATTTAATGAAACAAAAGGGCAACAACCCTCTTGAGAGCACCGTGGGGAGTTCGTACGCCACTTTGAGCTGCTTAAACACTTAGCGAAAGAAGGCAAACTCAACGGCCAGTGACCATGAAAGACGTCAAAGTGCAAAGGCAACGGGTGAGCGGTTTGCCAAAAGCGCGTGTCTGAAGTTGACGTAAGGCGGTAAGGCACTTAAGTAAAACAAAGTAAAATGGCATAGACAAGATGTTTATGAAGAGCAATCGGATTGCTTCAGTTTGCATGGCAGCTTTGATTTCTACAAAAAATTTCCAAACAGTTTTCTATGATCCTAATTTTTATTAAGAAAATTTAGTACTAATTGCTTCTATTGGATAGTAGCACACATTTTTTAACCCTTGGTCAGCCAAGGAATGCCAAGCAGGTAAGGTTAAGCTACGCCATAAGTGCTCGAGTGAAAATTTGTTAGGGTTTTTGCTAACTCTTTCACTTGAAAATCTTTCGAAAAAATGTTTTTAAAGAAATAAAAAGGTTTATAATTTAAATACATATGTATATGTAACACCACCTAGCAATTGAATTACATTTCTTCTTATCACTTTACGACTTTCCCAGTGTCAACGTGCGCCCCACTTTGAATTGTTCCATAAACATCCTCTCATCACTTACCTTTTCGCATTTCAACGCCCATCGTTGCATTTCCACCACCACCGCCACCGTAGACTCCACCAACACCAATACCGTCACCAACTCCACCACTGCCATTCAGTTTCTCAACCTCGTCGGCATCCTTCTCCTTCTCATCATCCGACAACATTGCATCATCATCATCGTCTGTTTTATTCTTTGGTTCCCAGGTCATTTTATTTTCCTTCTTCAGCCGTCGGCGTGCATTCGCGAACCACGTAGAGACCTGCGTCAGCGTCATTTTCGTAATGATGGCCAACATTATCTTCTCACCTTTGGTGGGGTAGGGATTCTTCTTGTGCTCGCTCAGCCAGGCTTTAAGGGTGGCCGTGGACTCGCGTGTGGCATTCTTGCGGCGTGCTGCCAAGTCGTAGCTGGAGCCGTAACTGCAACGAAAATAAAAGAATTTGGATTTTAATTACTTTTAAAATTGTGTAGGTACGCTAGTGTTTATTAATTGACAAATATAAAACAGTTTGCCCACCCACTTGTTATCGCGTTCGCAGCGGTTTCTATCAAACAGCGGCAAACTTGGACAACACTCATTCGACCCATATTTTAAAGAACCGTTGCACACACAAATGTAGTATCTGTGTTTGTTTGTTTGATTGTTCGCTTAGTTTACTCAAGTCGAGTGGCGGCTATTAAGTGGCGGCTGCACCTCAAAGCTCACATTTGCCATCGCATATGCAATTTGTAAATATTGCCAAAGCGTCAACCGTACAATCACGCAAAAAAAAAACAAAACCAACTAACAAACCGCCAACAACAAGCCACGTCAACGTCAACAACAGCGTAATCAACCTTCCGATACAAAAAGCGCGCCGAAGCTGCTATTACTCCCATTAGAAATTAAGAAGAAAAGCAAAAACCAAAATCAACTAAATAATTGTCAGTTGGAATGTTGATTGAGGCAGCAGCAAAGCTGTAGTTGCCGTCATCGCTATCGCCATCGCCACACTGCCACCGACGCGTTGCCGCTAATGAACTCTTTTCGTGTAAGTGGAGTTTTTTTTTTAAATATATTTAGTTGAGTAATTTTTGTTATCTGCGGAGGAGACACCTTTATACATTAATTGCTTTGACTTGAATGGTGCTACGGAATGGAGTTTTAGTTTAGCTAGCCAAATCGGTATTGATTATTAAGAGTTGTTGGCGCGCTATTATCTAAGCGCTTTGATGCCATATCTGTGTAAGTTAAGTGCTTTCAATCGATAAATTTTCATATATGCGAAAAGTAATATTCAAGCGAAAAATTAATTACTTTGTTCCCATTAGTGGAATTCTAATACACGAGCAGGCAGCATTTGTGTGATTACTCGTAGGTGCTATTTAGATTGAATTTATGACATCATAGTTTGTCCACAGAACATTTATCGAAAATATCGCAAAATGCTATGGAAACAATTTAAATATATCTCCCAAAACTTTTCTGTGGCAAAGTTACTCACCAAGGTCAGCAGTATCAATGAGTAGTGAACATCTGATAGCGCACATTTTCGGAACTTGGTTCCATCGTTTGCAACAAAATGTACGAGCTTGCCCAATATAAATGACTTCATTTGAAGATGGAATAATTATTGCAGATGGCATCGAATATCAGTTTATATATGGCATTTGTAATGGAAATATATGTAAATAGAATTCGTGTGTCGCTCAATATCCACTGTTCGAACGTTCCGACATTTAGCCAATCTACCTGAAGAGACTGCATCAAGAATAAATTCATTGCACACTGTGGTTCAAGATCTGGTGAAACAACCAACATCATCACCCAAACGGCGTGCGATATAATTGGCCATTTCTCTGTAGCGCCTTTTGAGTTAAAATTTTAAGATTAACGCTTTGAAGGAGAAAACAGTCCAAGAGCTATCGCCAGATGACCGAGAAACGCGTCCTGATTCTTAAAAAAAGCACTTAAATTTAGTTTTATTTTTTTCGAAATCATTAGGTGTGATCAGGAATATTTTAATCTTGAAGGAAACGTGAAAAAAATTATCATTTCTGGGGCACTGAGAATTCGCGTATCAGCCATGAAGAATCATAACATCCATTCAAAGTCACTGTATGGCGTGTAGTTTACTCTATTGACGGCATGAGCCGATTCTATTTATTTGAATACCTCGTTTTTGCGAATTTACTGACCGGCAACTTAACCAGACTTTCCTCTGTGGCATTTTTTGCAGTCTCGTGATTAGGTAAATGAGTCCTGGAGGCACCCTTAGGGAGAAGGTACAGCAATAAATCCCAGAAGTCTTACAACAACCATCTAAAATGTCATAAAACGGGCCTAAATGGTAATTTATAATGGCGGTGGTAACTCAAGTGATATCATCCTTAAAACACAATCTAATAAAATGTAATGGTCCAGATAAGGATTTAAGAAACACATCATTTTCTTCGCATTCGTTCTAAAGTTATAGACAAAGAACATTGGACGATCTTCTAATTTTACTCGCCCTTAGAACATCACCTATTTTCCTAGTACATACATACAAAAAATTCTACAGAATTTTCTCTTTCATTTTGGTACCCATATTTTTGTTCTACATAGCACTGAATTTTTTAAATATGTTTTAGAATTAATCATATCTTTGAAATTATAAAGTCCTTCAAAAAAATAAAGACGTCAGAGAAATGCGCATTTATATCCAGCTAATTAAGTATTTGGAGACTCTAAAAATTGTAAATATTGAATAAACAACGGAAATACAGATAAAAGTAATTATTTTACCTAAAATAGGAGAAAAAACTGTAATAATGGCATAAATTTAACTTTGAGTTTGAATAATTTTTAAACCAGTAGGTTTATCAAAAAATTGTAGGAGACATTTTTTATAGAAAATGTATCGCATTTTTAGTTCGATAATTTACAGCCGAGAAAACGAATTCCAAAGATGAAAACAATTTTTCCCAAATTATTTTATATCGAAAACAGGAATCCACGACACGCCTCCTATTAAACTTAATATAAAGGGTTTCGCTTTTAGCAGGCATCTTTCGAAATCCCCCCGGAAGTATTAAAGAGGGGGCTATTAAAAAGAATAGTTAGTCGATTTTTTTGAATCAGTCTAGTATGTGTTTATGTGTGTACTTTATACTCAGAACTGCATACAACACAGTTCCATTGTCAAAGTAATCTGCGACACCAATTTATGGCTTTCTAAAACAAATCCTTTAAGTCTTTAAACCAACAAATTTATTTTAACACTAAACAGCTCAAAATGCGAAAAAAAACATTTCCCAATCACTTCAACTTTAGTTACTTTAGCGTGAAAATTCATAGCGGAAAACCTTGAGAGCGACAGCTGGCCATATACATAAAAGCTTCTCAACTACGGCTGAACGCGCATCGAATTTAAATCGTTCAATAATTTTAAGTGCCGCATTTGATAACAATGAAAAAAAAAAAAAACGAAAAAAATCTCAATAGAATAAAAACAAAAAAAAAACATAGCACGGAAAATGAAAGCATATTGGCCCAGCCAACCAAAGGAGGTGAAGGCGGCGGCGAAAGCTGTGGTGGGCGACAGGACATTGGCGCAACGATAGACAAACGCCGTTTTCCACTTGTTGAACTGCTGCCAGAGACAGTGAACGTGTACGCAAGGGATTTAGTTGGGTTTATAGCCAAAGTTGTTGCTTCTTCCACGCTGCTGTGTTTCTGTTGTATTTTTTGTGTTTTTTTTTCTATGCCACTCGCAACCGCAGACATAGTCATAGTGGACGAACCCGACGACTGCGGCTTGTGGGCAAAATTTAATGTATTTGTAGAAAATCTCTAGCGGCGAGTTGTGCTGAATGATAATTCTTATTTTGATTGCTTCTACTACTAGCACTGTTTCGGGAAATTTTCACGCTTTGGTGGCAAGTTTTTTTTTTTTGAGTTTTAAAGCGCCAACTAAGCGACAGTGAAATTTATTTAATTCGATTATTTTATTGTGGAAAATCCATTTTAATTGCTAAGCTTAAAAAAGCGAGAAGAGCATGTTGCGATTCGGAAAGTATTTACTTAGTTATAAATCACCCGCAATGCGTATCGCACTCAAGTCAGCAAGCAGCCAGTTGACACACCAAAGCGGAGAGGTCATGAGAAGAAACTCGCTGGCTCACTGATAAGCCATGCTCATGCGCTCATATCAAGCAACACATACAGAGTATTGTCAACACTTCATAACTCAACGCGTTTAGTTGCAAGAGTTCAAGATTTATTTCTGTCACTCTCTCCAAAATGTTGCAATAAATCAAATCTTACGAAAAAGAATGTGTTTGAGTACACTTACCCATAGGCGGCTATCGGATCATACGAATAGTAGCCAGTGGTGGGCTGCAGGCTTGCCGAGGTCCAAGCGGACATATCAGATCCAGTGTTGCCCTCTTTTAATGCATAGGGATTGCTCTGCAAGTAGAAGTGAAGTGAAGTGAAAATGAGATTAAGTATGGTTTGAAATTTTTTAAATGCATAAATAAAGTAAAGCAGTAAAAATGTCAGTGTTGGAGAAAATCAGTTTTTTTTATTGATAAATTCAATGCATTTTATATTTGTTTTCTTTTTTAATGCTTTTATATTAAACATATTTCAATTAACTTTTTAAAACCAATCAGCAAACACAAAAGCTTGCAGAATTAGAGCAGACAAAACAAACAAATCAATAGAAAGTCAATACAAGAGAATAAAGGTAAACTGCTCAAATAAATTCGAATTGAATAATAGCTATTTAAAAACTACAATTCAATAATAATTTCTATAAAGAATAGGCAACAATAGCTTATATTAAAATAAAACGAATTAAAATTATTAAACAATGACAGTGCTGACAAGTGACAAAACAACAACAAACAAACCCGGCAGACGTCAGAACGATCTCACGCGATGATGGCGGCGATGGAACTCAATGAATGAATTGCATTTATTTATGGCGTTGACAAAAAATAAGTAAAAAATTTAACTAAGTCGAAATCCGCTTACTAAAAGGAATGAGAAGGTGGAGGTAAATAGTAGAAATAATATTTGTTTGCATTTATCTATGTATGTATATTTAAACTCAAAACAAAACAAAGGTGTCCCTCGCTGGCAAAGCAATACATTGCAATTCCTGTTGTTGTCATGTTTTAGTTTAGTTAACATAAATGCAAGTGTAAAAGACGAGCAACAAGCATTGCAAAAGCAACAACCACAACAAGGAGGACAATACAAACACTAGCACACACACACACACATTTGCAATGACAATAAAGCAACAACTAAAATTTACTACAAACTAATGGTGGGTCAAAACGGAAGAGGCTTAATATATAAACTCATAGACAATATACACATAGAAGCATATGTATGTACATATGTATGAATATGAAAATGTACACATTAATACACACTAGAGTCCAGCGCAATTGTATTTGCCGCATTTTATTCAATAAGTACT